CTCTCTTCCTGGCCACACCTCCGCTCTCTAACCCCCTCCCTCCTCTACCCACTTTGATGTATTTTTCAAAATTTGCCTTGGGGCAGAGTTATCTTTTCATTGGGGGGGGGGGGGGGGGGGGAATACACTTTAAACCAAAGATTTTTTTCAGACGTATCTTTAGAAATAATCATTTGTCTCGACCATTTTATCTGCCATACTGCTGGAAAATCACTTTGTTTAATGTTGACATCATTCTAAACCTTTGGATTCTTCTTGTGGGGCTGAAATTCACAATGACATCACTCCAGACCAATAAAAGTTGACTTTTCACACAGGCTCTCTTGTCAACAAAATTAACTTTGTGGTCAGGCCAGGGGATATATATCAGCAAATGTCAATAAACTATCCTTTTGAAACTTTTGAGATGGAGAATTTGAAAATAATGATAACTTAATATTGACTGCGATTTTTCTGTAAGAGAATAAAAAAAATATCTCGGTGCATGTATACAATCTGTCAAAATTATCAGTCTAAAGATAACAGTTTTAGTGAATGCATTTTTTATTTTCTTATATAAATTAATGAATTACAGTAAAAACATACAATTTACTCTAAATGGACAAGATTGACTTTACCTTCCTGAAATAATGGCCTAAGGTTTGTTTGTTTGTTTGTTTTTTCCTTTCTTCAAGGTTTATYAGGAATCTCAAACCATCTCATATGATACATTTTAGGTTAAGTTTTTTGGTTTCTTGAAATTTTTATTTTAAAAAGACCATTATTTAAGGAAGGTCGCGATATTAAAAATTTAACAATTTGATTGAGTCATTAAACCAATCATGTAGCAGAACTGACCCTATGAATTATGGGAAATAGATTTATGCTTCTGCAAGCTGAAACAAATCTGACAATACGATAAAAGGGGCCCTGCTTATTTACAATAATAGAAACTCCTTCACTGAGTTTTATTAGCAATAAAACGAAGAAAAAAGCCCCAAAGACCCCTGATCTCGAACCGTACAGAGGGTCTTTGTTGAGCGGCCCGGCCGGTGCCAGCAGCAGCAGCTGCAGACAGGATGCTGCTGAGGCCGGGCAGGGAGGACCGGGTCTGTTCTTACCCTGCTCCAGGTCCTGCTGGTCGTACCAAGGCTCTTCTTCTTCGGTTATGAATTCATCCATCGTCCCTGAGCTCACCATGGGTCTCCCCCTCGGTTTTAAGAGGGAACCAGGAGCCCACCGACGCCTTCAGTTTGGAAACAACAGGCCGAGCTGTGCTGTGGTCGCTCCTCTCGGTGCTGCGGCTTCGGCTTGTTTCCTCCTCTTTCCTTCCGCTCCCCTTCCTCAGTCGCTCCTTGTTCCCCTTGTCATCCTCCCACCATCAGCCGGCCCATCCCGGAGCTCAGACTCGGCTGCAGCTGCAGAGACGTGGCAGAGACGCCTTTCTCCCCGTTAACAGCCTCACGCCCGTGGTGCCTTCAGGTGCAGCTCGTAAACCGCGATTATCACTCCGCTGCGTGTAGTTCTGGGTCAGACACACAGCACTAACAGGAAGAGTGACGTCAAGTTGTCAAAATGTGGCATCTTTAAATTGGATTAATGTAACGTTGGCTTTTAGGGAACCTTCAGGAAACGTTTCCTGAAGGTTTCCTGAAGTTTAGCTACAAAGCGTGCGTTCCCTACCAGTGTTTCCCAAAGTTGGGGTCGGGACCCACAGTGGGGTCCCAAAACATCAAGGTGGGGTCCTGAAAATTTTTTCAGTATTACTTATATTTTTGCCTTATTGTTACAAATGAGTG